AGAATCGAAGCCGCAGTGAAGAAACAAGTGAAAAAGCAGTATTTTGGGTAGTTACTGATAGAATGAAATACATTGGGTGTCTGGGCTCAGCCTTAGAGATGTGAAGCCCCAGGTCCCCCAAGCCCCAGGTCTACGGTGCTTGGTCCTGATTTGGTTGGTTGTGGGAGGGATGGTGGTGGTGGAGCAGGTCTGTGAGGTAGGAAGGGACCTTATATGTGTGAGGAGGAGGCTTTTGTACTCAATGCATTGGGGAACAGCGAGCCAGTGAAGATTCTGGAGGACAGGGTTGATGTGTTCACGGGTGCATGTGTGGGTGAGGAGGCAGGCAGCAGAGTTGTGGATATATTTAAATTTATTTAGGGCTTTGGCAGGTGAACCATAGAAGATGCTATTGCAGTAGTCAATTCTGGATGTAATGAAGGCGTGGATCAGGTTTTGGCAGCAGAAAAGGTGAGCGAGATGGGCAATGTTTTTGAGGTGAAAGAAGGCAGTCCTGGTGACATGGTTGATGTTCAAAAGTGAGGTTGCTGTCAAAGATGACTCCAAAGTTGCGGATGTGTGGGGATGGAGACAGGGTGGAGTTGTTGATGGAAAGGCTGAAGTTGTTGGTGTCTTTTGTGAGTGATTTGGGGCCGATGATGATCATGTCAGATTTATTGTAATTGAGCTGTAAGAAGTTGGTTTGCATCCAGGTTTGTATGTCGGTGAGGCATCTGGTCAGAGTTGCAGAGGTAACTGTGGTGATGGATTTGGTGGAGATGTAGATCTGGACATCATCAGCGTAGCAGTGGAAGTGGAGACCATCTCTACGTATGATGTTACTGAGTGGCAGGATGTAAATAATGAACAGGAGAGGACCAAGCACCGAACCTTGGGGGACGCCTTGTGACCAAGGAGCAGTGGAGGAGGTGCAGTTATTGATATTGATGAACTGTTTATTGATGAACTGGGTTTGAATTTGCCAGGAAGGGGAGATTGGAGATGGGTCGGAAATTGGACATGATGTCCGGGTTGAGACCAGGTTTCTTGAGGATGGGGATGACAGCTGCAACTTTGAGTGTTGTGGGGACCTGATCCAGATGTGAGGGAGGAATTAATGATTTTGATGATGAGTGGGGTGATGGATGGAAGGCAGGTCTTGATTAGGGATGATGGTATGGGGTCTAAGCTGCAGGTGGAGTTGTTCATTTTTGTCGTGAATTGTGACAGTTCTAAAGGAGACAGAGGTGAGAAACAAGACAGTGACGGAGAGTGTACTGCACTTTTGGGGTGGAAATGGGGATATTGATGTCCATTATGATTGTAAGACGGTCAGAGGTTAATGCTAGAAATATGATTTAATGTGAGACCAGTGGAGCAGACCTCATCTGCTCCTTTCAATATGAAAGGTGGTTCAGGTATCTGATCAGGATCCTCCTGGGTGTTTTTCTGTAGAGGTTGCATCATTTATGTTGCATCATTTTGCAGCAGAAGTCCAGATGGTAAATGTAAAACAGGACTCACACTGATAATTAAACATCAGATATGAGCCACTCATTACTGACTCCTGCAGGACATCTGTGTCACTGCAACAACAACAGAAGTAAGAGAGAAACTCAGGAAAGTTTCATCTAAACTTCTACAAAATGTTTTTGGACAAAAAAAGTGACATCACACAGATATTTACAGAGTGGAGAGAAACTCCACTGAGGAACGTTACATCCTTGTTTCTAATGAATCTGTCTCTCAGTGATCTCAGATCAGCCCTCCTTCATGTTCAGCCTGCAGCGCTGTCATTTCCTGCGTGTGATTAAACTCTTTGTGTAGGGCCCCGTGTCTCCTGATGATCTGTTGAGTGTGTGAAGAAAAAAAAGACCTATATCTTAAATGAAGGAGAGAAACCCACACAGTCACTACCCCACAAAGAGGAAGGAGGAGAGTTTAACTGGACTGACTGAGTGGTGGTGCAATGGGACGGACGTCTTTTCTGCTCTGTAAGTACAATCAGCTAAAACTGAAATAACTGTAAACTGTTATTGTTCACCCGTAGATTGACTTTATTGATCACCACAGGGAAAAAGTAATTTTTTATCTTTCTTTATTCAATCTGAACCAGACAGACATTTAACATCCACATGGTGCATTCATTTAGGGTTGGAAGATTTTGCAGTATTTATGGAGCAGGAAGTTTTTCAGTTCTCTGTCTGGTCTGGTTTTATGTTAAATCTCTGGTTTCTCTTCAGTGCTGATCTCTCTGCTGAACTGCAGGACCAGCGAAGGTGAGTGACACTCAAAGCTGTTCGCATAACGCTTTCTGGTAAAAAGTCATATAAAATGTTTGTTCTTTAAAGAGATTGAACACAAAAAGACACTAACACATACTGAGAATGTTTTAACATTTACTAACTAAATGAACATTTACACTATTCAGAAACAGACTTAAGTAAAACTAACAAGACAACAGTCTCTAAAAACCAGCCTGTTCTGATGCGTCGTATATACACTTTGAGAAAACCAAGGCTATTGTACACAAAACCCCTGGGGGCGTCATAACCGTCACAGAAGTTAGTGAGAAGTGAATATATCAGTGAATATATGCATGTCGACTGGCTCCACACGCAAAATCGCCGTTTTGTGTACAATAGCCACGTTTTTTCCCAAGCGTGTATATATGACACCTGAGATGAGATCAGGTTGCTAAAAACAAGTTACCAGGATGTAAGCTAAAGTCAGATCTGAGATTTGAGCCTTTAGTTATGAAATAAATCAAATTCACAGACGACTAAAAGAACTTAATTGGTATATAGTGTTTATTTGACAAAAGGAATTTGTCCCTTCGTGTATGTTGAAGTGAAGCTCCAACAATCCAATTAGTTTCATTAAATGCTTAAAAATATTGCAAAAATGAAAAAACTCAAAGGTCACCACACCTCTAGTTTCCTTTTTGCACATGTTGGATAAATTGCATTCATTTTATTCCTGGTAACACTGCCACTTAATCACCAAAGCCGCAGTCTCCCAGAAGTCTCTCGCAGGCAGTCTCAGGCTGTCTGAGAAAAGAGCACCAAGCTGTGATGCATTTATGGTCAAACAGGTCAAAGACTATTAACTATTACACCTCTGTGATAAAAACATGCAGGGAACTGTGGTGGAAATTATATTCCTGGTGAGAGGTTGAGCAAATAATTGAGTTACAATGAACCGTTGTCTTTGAAGAATTTATTTAACAAAAGAGAATAAACAGAGAAGTACTACGTCACTAACATCTGGCCCTGAGCAAAGGGCTGCATGATCATTTACACAGTCTGGGTTTCTATGTTTTGGAGAACAAAAGATCTTTGACTGGTCCCAGTCAAGGAAGGAGAAGAGGAAAACAATCAACAACCCCACATCCCTGACCTAAACCCCACACATGTGGACAGACTGGAATAACAAAACAATAATAAAAAGGGAACAGGTTAAAGATTTAAAACAATATATAAAACAGAATAAAAGGAGAAAAATAGCACTCCTGTAAGTACTTGCGTAAAGGATTATAAGTAAAGAATAAAACAATTTTCTGCCCTTATAGGAAGTATTTAACCTTTTAGATTTCACTTAAAGACAACTTATTTTCCAGCATGTAGGGCAGCCCTATATGTCTGCATTCCACTTTCTTGACTGGAAGGGCAGCTTAAATTTAAAAGTACATGACATAAATAACTAAATTTAACAAAAAAAAATCACATCAAAAAAATATAGTGAATCTTCATAATGCAGCAGGTGCAAAATTTGAATCTTCAGTCAGTCATCATCAATTCCTCCCTTAATTCTGTCCAACAATATAAATGAAATAAATGATAAATATATTGTATTTCCATTATTGTTTTTTTTTAATAATTAACAAATGGTTAAAAAACTATTTGTATTTCTGGGCTGGTTGGAAATAATTAATGACAATATAAGACTGGTCCTTTTCCTCGAGCTAATTACTTCAAGCCAACTGTGCTGTTAAAAAATACTGTTGCCCAGTGTGTCAGCAACCACATGGTGCTGATTAGTTTAGCATATCCTGTCGTTCCCAACAAAGTGTCAAGATTTTACTGTGAGACATCTGGTCATTTCACTAAAATGTAACGTATCCCCTCCAGCCTCTCTGACTGTGAGTCCCAGCAGCTCTCAGCTGTTTGAAGGAGAGTCTGTCTCTCTGAGCTGTGAGGACGACGACAGCTCTGCTGGATGGACGCTGAGGAGGAACACAACCAGAGAAACCAGGACTCAGTGTGGATCTGGCTGGGGAACATCAGCTGGTTCTTCCTGTAACATCAGCTACATCGCCACATTGGACAGTGGAGTTTACTGGTGTGAGTCCAGAGAGGGAGCAACCAGTAACACCATCAACATCACTGTCACTGGTAAGATCAGACTGTGGAGTTAGTGTTGATGAAGCTGTGTGTAAATGATGAAATGCTGTAGTTTGTCTCTGTGTTGAGGTGGACCAGTGATCCTGCAGAGTCCTGTCCTCCCTGTGATGGAGGGACATGAGGTCACTCTGCACTGTAAAACAGAGACCCCTCCCTCCAACCTCCCAGCTGGTTTCTATAAAGATGGCTCCCTCATCAGGACTGAGCCTACAGGTCACATGACCATCCACCATGTTAACAAGTCTGATGAAGGCCTCTACAAGTGTAACATCAGCGGTCGTGGAGAGTCTCCATCCAGCTGGATCTCTGTCACAGGTGAGGAGCTCAAAGATAATTCTCAAACTGACCTTGTTTTGTTTTCTAAATTTAGTTCAGCAGGTTTCAGGACAGCAGAGATGATTCATGATGTGACAACATTTCTAACTTTGCAATCTACAAAGAAAGTTCAACCTACCGTTTGATACGTGATCTTTTTAACTCTAAACCAGACTGACACCATGAATTAACTTCTGTGTCTTTCTGTTAGCATGTTGTTGAATAAATTATTAATGTATTTTATTTTCTGTGCCTTTAATTATAATTTCTTGTTCATTCCAGTGAAACCCACCACTACAAGTCCTCCTTCAACCACCTCTCCTCCTCTCCCCTTGTTGTGGTCTACTGTTCTGTGTTCTGGTTTTACTGGTTTTACTGGTTTTACTGGCGAGACGATGCCTCCACAGGAAACCTAAAGGTCAGTGACAGACTCCATGTGCTGCAGTTCACATTTAAAGTCACATTTTACTGTTGACACATTTCTATTAACACTTCTGGACGTACAAATAATAACAAGTTATAAACTGTTTTTAAGTCAGACGTCCATCAGGATTCTCATAAATCACATTGCTGTTGTTAATAAAACAATCTCACCACAGGGTCAATTTAGTGAGCTGTGGAGCTTTTGATCAAATCACATGACCTTTCTTGATTTAAATTTCTGCTCCTTTTGGTTCATTCAGCTGCTGAAGTAGAAGCTGGGGATGATGACATCACAGATGACATCACATACAGTGATGTCAAAATATCACGTCACCTACAGCAGCCAATCAGATGCAGCAAAGGTAACGATGTTTTATTGATTCTGGACCCTCTCCATCTGAAGGTTGCCCCCCCTCCTAAAAATCTATTAATAATTGTGTAAGTAGTAAAACAATATAAACATAAATGGGGCAATAAAAGTGTGTTTTTATTTTAGAAACATTTTGAGTCCCTCCTCTCTGGCCTCACAGTGTCCACTGCCTGCTTTTCCCAAGGGGGTTAGCCAGAGATCAGACAGTGACGCCAACCAAAGCCTGCATGGAGGGATCCATGTAGGCCCAGAAATGACGTTAAAACTCTGTGACACCCCGTCGCACATGAGAGATGTAACCGTATTGCTTAGATTATAAACTCTCGGCAATCAGATCAATCAGTGACGCTGCGTTGGTGTTTGGCAGGTGAGTCTCGTAGGTGGGCTGATTAAACAGTGACGATCCGAGTCAGACAAACACACTGAGCCATGAGACTTTTTCTTGATGCAGCTACCAGAATTACGGTGTTTCTATCACCGCGGTGAAATTAGTTTTAAGTTGGATATTCGACAGACATTCACCCAGGATCCAGTGACGGCTTTTTAGTCAGTTCACCCAGTGACGGTTGTATAAGTGCGGTTAGCTCACCTCTGATGGCTCGCTTTTAACCAACGAGGGTTAGCTTAGGGACCATCAATAAATTACAATTGTGAGAACAGTGTTCTGGGAAAATCATTATTTATTTCAATAGCTTCCAAGTCATGTGACACAGGGACTTCAAACCAATGCCGAATTGTAATACTGCACTAGGCAAATGAGACACACCCCTTCATATTTGATTTGAGTGCATATTCGACTTTATATTAATATTTATTCATAATTTATCTAAAAAAGTTCTGTTTTTTTTCAATATCTTCCAAGTCATGTGACACAGGGACTTCAAACCAATGCCGAATTGTAGTACTATACTAGGCAAATGAGACACACCCCTTCATATTTGATTTGAGTGCATTTTTTATTTTATATGAATATTTATTTATATTTTCTTCTTCAATAGATTCCATTTCAAATGATTCAGGGACTCAAAACCAATGCCGAATAGTACTACTACCTGTTACACATATTACACACCTCTTGTACAACTGCAGTTGTACCTCACAGAGTCAGTCATTTTCTTCCACAGCATTGAGCAGATTTCAAAGAACACTTTATTTACACAACGGACATTCCCAGTTTCCTTTCTTTGCCTCTTCATATTGTGTGCTGTCCATTTCCACACACTGAGCATGGAACCACCGTTCACAGCCATCACACTGGACCTGTGGAATTAAAATAAATCTTTCGTAACATATTTATATATATATATATTTATTTCAATGTCTGTTGCTTAGATGTAGAGCGGTTGTCCTCTACATGGAAGATATATGCCCCCTCTGTATTTGCTCAGAAGGCTGTGCCATTGTTGTGTGAGTGTGTGTGAAAGAGTATTAGTTTCTTTCTCATCAGCAGTTGGCACCTTGCATTTATTTCTCTGCCATCGTTGTATGAATGATTATACAACTGTCACTGGGTGAACTGACTAAAAAGCCGTCACTGGATCCTGGGTGAATGTCTGTCGAATATCCAACTTAAAACTAATTTCACCGCGGTGTTTCAATCGCTGTTCTACGTCTGCTGCGCGATCGTGCGCAGTAGACGCTGGTGCCGACAGGAAGTAGCCTGTCCAATCAAGCTTATTGTCGCGCGAAGTACAGACAAAAATGGCCATTACACATTTTTATTGTTTTTATTGGGGGCCTACAAAACCTCTCAGCCTAAGGGCCTAACGATAGATTAAAGCGGGCCTGGCCACACAAACACGATATAACATGTCTTAGGTGTTAAAGTTCTTCACTGGAGTGAAGAAGACATAACACTCGCATAACACCTGCAGAGAAATTTACAGAAAGAGACACTATCTTATATTAAATTAGAAAACACGGTGGATATTTTAAAGCAATCAATCAATCATCTCTTAATTTGTCCCCGTAGGGAAATTAGTTTGCAGAACAATAAAGTAGGCATCATACAGCACAGAGAGAACCTTCAAACTGGTAAACACACACTAATACATAACACATAATTTCCCAAATCCCACACCTTACTACTGATTAAATTAGGCAGACCAAGCTGAACATCCTGCCTATTTGGCTATGAATGTGCCTTACCTGTTTAAAAACTTGATTTCTTAAGGCACAAATTTATCTATTTTCTGTAAATAGAGGGAGGCGATATCGTAACAGTTCAAATGAAGGTGCAAGGTGGGGCCTCTTGTCTCCCACACTATTCATCAGCCTTTCCCTATAGATACATTCCCTACTCGGTCCCTAATAGTTTACTGGCCGTTGTTACTGTTTTTCTTACTGACTTTTTCTAAACCTCAGTAGCATTGCCAAACCAGCAAATGATGCAAAAAGGCAAAAACACTTTCAATAAAAAAAACAACAGTTTCTTTAAAAACTACATTCTTTGTTGTGTCTTAGTGTTTATGAGGTCAGACCACAGATCCCATCTGAGCTTATGGTCGAGCACAATGCCAAGGTATTTGTAATTATAATAAAAAGGGTTCCCATTGATAACAGTAGGATTTGATGATTGCAACGTTCTAAAGTCAATGGACATTTCTTTTGTTTTGGTGGTGTTTAGAAGGAGGCTTCACTTCTCACACCACGTTAGGAAGTAGTAACGAACTGGTCAATGCGCCTCCTCATCATATAGACTCATCAAGGCAAGTAAGCAGGTAAAGCAACAGTAAACACAGCTGATGTCACAGAGCTCATCTGCAGCTGTGAAAACGGAATTGCGATTGAAAAAACAAACAAACGCGAGTTTACTTTTATTAAACTGCTGACAAATAAAGTCAGAGCAGACAGATACAGGCAGAGAGAGAGACAGGTGTAGGTGCATGTGTGTCTGAAGTGAAAAGTACTGTAATTTGAGATTTAACACTAAAATAAGGCGGAGAATTAAGTAGAATTAAATCAGTGAGATTAGAAATAAAATTCTAGAAATAGGGTAATGTATTCTTTCAAATATTTTCAATTAAAATATATTTTAAAATGTCCCTCAAAATGAGAAAATATCCAATCAAGAAAAGTTGCAGAGATGTTTGTCAGTTATAGTTGTCAGAAAGAAAGAAGTGGAATCAGCGTGTCAGACCTTTAAATAATCAGTAATTAGGATCATTAGTGCATCTCTTATTTCAGCTGGTACAGCTATAATCCTGTGTGTGAACTGATGTTAGGTTAATGTTGTAGATCTACTGTTGTGTTGGGTTTTGCTCAGTATGATGTTCAGTGGCAAATCAGCAGCAGATAAATATTAAGAGACATCTTCTGTCCCAGAGGAAACCTAAAATACTATGTGGAAGATCCTTAGGATAATTAGGATAATATGACCGATGGTGAACCTATGAACCTTAATCATATTTAAACAACTACAGCTTTGTGTTGTTGGCCAGATAAAAAGACAGAGAAAAGTACAAAAAGTCATGGCAATTTGGTAACATCACTGCCTCCATGCTACACTAATAATAGCAGTAAGACTTCCCTCTGTGTACATGTATCCTATACTAGTACTAGCTGTATTATTTCAATTCAATTCAATTCAATTTTATTTATATAGCGCCAAATCACAACAACAGTTATCTCACAGCGCTTTTCATAAAAGAGCAGGTCTAGACCGTACTCTGTGATGATATTTACAGAAGCCCAACAGTTCCCACCAAGAGCAAGCACTAGGCGACAGAGGCAAGGAAAAACTTCCTTTTAAGAGGCAGAAACCTCGAGCAGAACCATGGCTCAGGGTGGGCGGCCATCTGCCTCGACCGGTTGGGGTGAGAGAGAGAGAGAGAGAGAGAGAGAGAGAGAGATGTAAGGAGAGAGAGAGAGAGATGTAGAGAGAGAGAGATGTAAGGAGAGAGAGAGAGAGAGAGAGGGGGATGTAAGGAGAGAGAGAGGGGAGGGAGGCAGCCTACACAATATACACACAGAGGTACAGACAGTGAAGGTAATGTTGCTATAGACTAAATGAAAAATGGTACAGATATTTATAATAGTGTTAATGGTAACCATCGTAATGTTAATGATTATAATAACAATAATAACAATAAGACTAGCAACAATAGTCGTTGCAGCAGAGGGTGTCGAGCAGGAACACGGGGGCAGCAGGTGACCCGCAACCACAGATCCAGACTCCACAGCTCCAGAGCCAGAAACACCTGCAGGAAGTGATAGGAGGAGAGAGGAGAGAGACGAGAAAGCACAAGACTACCAGTAGGGGAGAAGTTGTGTTAGTAACATGCAATAATGGGATAAGGTTGCATACAGAGGGAGAGAAAGTAGAGGAGAGAGGAGCTCAGTGCATCATGGGAAATCCCCCGGCAGTCTAGGCCTATAGCAGCATAACTAAGGGATGGTTCAGGACTACCTGAGCCAGCCCTAACTATAAGCTTTATCAAAGAGGAAAGTCTTAAGCCTACTCTTAAATGTGGAGATGGTGTCTGCCTCCTGAACCCAAACTGGAACCTGGTTCCACAGGAGAGGAGCTTGATAGCTGAACGCTCTGGCTCCTATTCTACTTTTGGAGACTCTAGGAACCACAAGTAACCCTGCATTCTGGGAGCGCAGTGCTCTGGTGGGGTAGTAAGGTGCAATGAGCTCTTTAAGATAAGATGGTGCCTGACCATTAAGAGCTTTGTAAGTAAGAAGAATGATTTTAAATTCTATTCTGGATTTTACTGGAAGCCAATGCAAAGAAGCTAAAACAGGAGAAATGTGATCTCTTTTCCTGGTTCCTGTCAGAACACGTGCTGCAGCATTCTGGATCAGCTGAAGAGTCTTAATGGACTTTTTCGAGCAGCCTGATAATAAGGAATTGCAGTAATCCAGCCTAGAAGTAACAAATGCATGGACTAGTTTTTCTGCATCATTTTTAGACAGGATGTTCCTGATTTTCGCAATATTACGTAGGTGAAAAAAGGCGGTCCTTGAAATTTGCTTAATGTGAGACTT